TGCCCATGGCAGGGGGGTTGGAACTGGATGATCTTTAAGGTCCCTTCCAACCCAAACCATTCTGTGATTCTATGATTCTATGACTCCGTCCAGTGGCACCAGCTGGAAGGGATACGTGGAAAGCCGTTGGATGTTTTGGTTGTGCACGCTGGGTGGAGACAGGCCCCACAGATGCGCGCTCGCTCTGTAAGGGTCGGGAGGCTTTTTCAGGCTGTTGTATTCCCACGAGCACGTAACAGCTCTGGAGCAGACGGGCAGAAGAGCAGCCTTGTTCAGGAGAATACGCCTCTTCCCGTGTCGTGTCCAGCGGGCACTTAGGTGTTTTCTTGCTTTCCAGGGTCCGTGTCCTCATGTGATGCCTTCCTGAGCTTGTTTCAGAGCCACGGGCTTAAACCAGAGGCAATTTGTCCGTGTGCCACGTCTCCAGAAGCGATGACGATCGCCATCCGGAGGTAACGGGCGTCGAGCAGTGCCGTCCGTTGGCTCGATGACGTGATCCAGGCCGGGGGGTGTTTGCAGATGGCTTGGTCCTAGCCGACTCAAGCATGTAATGAACTCCCCTGACGTTTACTGCATGTGCTGGGGTATTCACGTAGCTCCGTTGTTACACATCTCTCCCAAGATAGGAGGGCTTTTTTTCCTCTGAGATGCATGATAGCTCAGCAGTGCCTGCAGGAACCGTGCACTGCTTTTTCCTACTTGATTTACACAGCAGCTGTGGTGGTCCTGAATCTGAGATGGAGTTTGGTATCACGTTGGACAGTGGTTTCCATAGCCTGTTCCGCTTCTGTATTTTCCTACTTGATTTACACAGCAGCTGTGGTGGTCCTGAATCTGAGATGGAGTTTGGTATCACGTTGGACAGTCGTTTCCGTAGCCTGTTCCTGTCCACTTCTGTAATAAACAGCTCCGTAATCATCCGGCCCGGGAGCTGGGGTTTAGCATGGGGTAAGCTGAGGAGCTGGAAGCGGAGTTGTGCTCGCCCAGGACTCCAGTTTCGGACTTGCTGGTCAGCGTGGCTCTGCTGGGAGGCAATCTTTCCTGCCACCTCCCACTTTTAAATTTGTTATGCAGAGAGGAGACGCTGAGATACGTGTATTTCTGTGGCTGTGCTGTCCTCACCCGAGCCTAATAATAGCCTGTGTGTCCGATTGATGTATTGATTTCATGTCCTTCAAAGGCCTGGGGTCCCCGGGGCGCCGTTGCCTGGAAGAGCCATCCTGTCCATGAACGGGCTGAGTTTCGGTGTGATTCGTGTCAACACTGAAGATAAAAACTCTGCTCTCACTGTCCAGGACGTTGGCCACGTGATGCCAGGAGGTAACACTCAGCAGAGTCCCCTGCTAGACCCTGCGATGGTCTGGAAAGCTTCAGAAAAAGGACCCGTCGGGGTTCTCTCAGCCCTGGGGGGGTCAGGCTGTCCCCGTCCTGTTCCAGCATATCCGTCCCCATGAAGCGTGTCGGAGATCTTGGGGACCGCGTTAACCGTGTGTCATTTGTCCTAGGGATGATGTGTATAGTGAAACCGGATGGACCCCCGCAGCTCTGTAAAACAGACGAGATCGGGGAGATCTGCGTTAGCTCCCGGGCAGGAGGAATGATGTACTACGGGCTGGCGGGGGTGACAAAGAACACGTTCGAGGTATGTGTACGGACCGAGCCTCTGTCCCCGTTTCCTGTGTAGAACTGACAGCCGTGTGGTGCCTCTTGGCTTTGTAACCAAAGTGTCAGTGTTGGGTTTTAAAAAGACACCCCAAAAAACTCCCTACAGTTAGATGTTCCTCGGGGGTCAGTGTTGGGACCGACACTGTTGAACCTCTTTGTCAGTGACAATGATGGCATTGAGTGCACCCTCAGCAATTTGCTGACAACACTGAGTTGTGTGGTGACGTGCTGGAGTGCAGGGATGGCATCCAGAGGGACCT